AGTGCCAAGTGTAGCATCAGAAGAGGGACTGTTCCATATATCCTGCGAAGAGGCAGGCATAGCTTGGGCCCATGCGGGTGCCCGTGGCCACCCCCTTAGTCTGTAGGAAGTGGGAGGAGTTAAAGGAGACGTTGTTAAGGGTAAGTACGAGTTCAGTTAAGCGGATGAGGGTGTTGATGGAGGGGACTGGTTGGGCCTGCGGGAGAGGAAGCAGCGGAGGGCTTTTAGGTCATCCGCATGGGGGATACAAGTGTACAGGGATTGGATGTCCATTGTGAAGATGAGGTGTTGGAGCCCAGGGAATTGGAAGTCTTGGAAGAGGTGGAGGGCATGGGTGGTGTCCTGGACATAGGTGGGGAGTTCCTGGACCGGGGGGTTGGTGGTGGGAGAAAACAGAGTCGAGGTAAGCGGAGATAGGTTCAGTGGGGGCAGGAGCAGGCAGAGACAATGGGTCGGCCGGGGCAGTCAGGTTTGTGGATTTTGGGAAGGAGATAGAAACGGGCAGTGTGGGGGTGAGGAACGATGAGGTTGGAGGCTGTGGGTGGGAGGTCACCTGAGGTGATGAGCATGTGAATGGTTTGAGAGATGAAGTTTTGGTGATCAGGGGTGGGGTCTTGATCGAAGGGCATTAGGAGGAGGTGTCAGAGAGTTGGCGCCTGTCCTCGGCTATGTAAAGGTCAGTGTGCCATACTACTACTGCACCTCCCTTATCTGTGGGTTTGACGGTGAGGTTAGGGTTGGAGCGGAAGGCTGCGTGTTCCGAGGGGGAGAGGTCAGAGTGAGTAAGGGGGTGGAGAAGTTGAGGCGATCGATGTTGCGCTGGCAGTTGGAAATGAAGAGGTCAAGGGAGGGTAGGAGGCCATGGGGTGGTGTCCAGGAGGATGGAGTGTGTTGGAGTAAGGAGAAGGGGTTTGTAGAGGGTGAGTTAGACTTGCGGTTAAAGAAATAGGTGCGGAGGCTGAGGCAGTGAATAGTGTGTTTGGCATCCAAACGTGAGTGAAATACATTGATGTGTGGGCGCAGGGGAATGAAGGTGAGTCCTTTGCTGAGGACTGACCGTTCGTCTTCAGGAGGAGGTATGGGAGGTTGGTGAATACTGGCAGGGGTTGGGGCTGGGACTTAGCGGGGAAGAGCTGGTAACTGGGTTGGAGCAGGGTGTGGGGGTGAAGTTAGTGACGTCGTCGGCATCAGCAATGTCAGCGGCAGGAGTGACAACATCAGCATCAGTGGTGTTGCCGTCGGCGGAAGTGACGGCAGTGGGTGGAGTGATGTCGACATGAGTGATGTCGGCGGCGTGAGTGGTGACGTCAGCATCAGTGGTGTTGCTGTCAGTGGAAGTGACGTTGGCGTCAGTGTCGTCGGCGGAAGTGTCATCGTTGTCCTTGATGTTGGTGGCAGGGGCAGCGTCGTCAGCAGTGACCTTGATGTGGGTAGCGGGGGTGGCATTGGCGGCACTCTCGGTGTTAGCGACAGAAGTGGCGGCATCCACAGTATGAATGGCAGCAACGGCAGCAGCAGTGGCATGGTTCGTAGCAGTGGAAGTGACATGAACAGCTAAAGTGATGAGGTTGGTGGCGTCAATGGAAGAGATGGTGTTGATCACATGGCTGATGGCACTAGGCACTTTGAGGGGCAGCTCCTGGATAGGGTTGAGGACTTGGGGGGTGGAAGAGGCCTGTGTTTGGTGGTAAGCACAGGTAAGTTTAGTGAACTTACTGTTTTTAATGTCAGATAGGGTGGAGAAAAAGTGTTGGTTGATGTTGTGGATCCTGCGCAGAATGAAAAACAGAAGAGGTCTTTTGCAGGTCTGGGACAGGGAGGCCGTGAGCTGGGGTAGGGTTGATTGTAGTGCCAGAAGATGCCAGAGCATTGCTGAGAGTGTGTACTTGAGGATCCATAGAGAAAACCGTTTTTGGAGGCTCTGGATGTTTTGTAGGTAGAGGTTGTCGCGGTCAGGGCCAAATTGGGATGGCCTGAATGTAGATTGGAGTCCATTGGGGATGATCCAGTTCTGTAAGCAGGTACTGAGAAAGGAGATGTGACTGTAGTACCTGGTTTGCTTGAGTATGTGGTCGAAGATTTCTATTCTCTATTCCTCTGGGACTCACCTCTCTGTAAATAGGATACAGAGGTTTTATACAAGGTTCCAGCAATTTCCTCCCTTGCCACCCCCAGTATTTTGGGATAAGTCTCATTAATTCCTAAGGACTTGTCTATGTTAATGCCTTTTAAATCACCCGACATCTCCTCCTTTTCTATTTTGACATGCCCTAGAATGTCAATGTGCCCCTCTCTAGACTTACCATCCACCATGTTCTTCTCCTTTGTGAATGCTAATGCAAAGTATTCATTAAGGACTCACCCACATCCTCTGGCCCTAAACTAAAATTTACTACCCTTTTCCCAAGCTACCCTCTTGTCCTTTATATATGTATAAAAAGCCTGGGGATTTTACTTAATACTGTTTGCCAAGGCCATTTTATGGCCCTTTTTAGCCTCCCTAACTCCTTGTTTAAGTTCTTTCCTGCTTTCTTTATATTCCTTGAGGGAACTGTCTGTCTTCAGTTTCTTACATATGCTTCCTTTCTCTTTCTGACTAAGCTCACAATTTCTCTTGTCATCCAAGTTTCCCAAATCTTTTTATTCTTATCTTTCATTTTCACAGGAACACGCAGATCTTGAATTCTAATCAACCAGCTTTTAAAAGATTCCCACATGGCAGATGTGGACTTGCCCCCAAATGGCCATCCCAATCTACATCTCTTAGTTCCTGCCTAATATTGTCATTGGTGGCCTTCTCCCAATTTAGTAATTTCACCTGAGGACTACTCTTATTTTCATTTATAAGTAACTTAAAATTTACAGAATTGTGGTCACTGTTCTCGAAATGTTTCCCTCCTGAAACTTCAGTCAGCTGGCTGGCCTCATTCCATAATACCTAACATCGAACATGGCCTCTTCCTTAGTTGGACTACTTACATATTGCTTCTAGAAACACTCGTGGACGTGCCTAACAAATTCCTGTCCATCCAAGCCCCGGCACTAAGGGAATCCCAGTCATTACGTAGGAAGTTAAAATCACCCACCACAACAACCCTGTTGTTTTCACATTTTTCAAAAATCTGTCCATATATCTGTTCTTCCATCTCCATTTGGCTGTTGGGAGGGCTGCAGACCAACCCAATCAAAGTGATTACACCCTTACAATTCCTGAACTGTTCCCATGTTTCCTCATTGGATGAGCCCTCCTAGGTGCCCTCCCTCAGTACAGCTGTGATATTCTCCTTAATCAGTAATGCAACTCCCCTACCCTTTTACATCCCTCTCTATCTCACCTGAAACATCTAAATCCTGTAACTTTTTCCTGCTAGAGATAACAGTGTGGAGCTGGAGGAGCACAGCAGGCCAGGCAGCATCAGAGGAACAGGAAAGTTGACATTTCGGGTCTGGACCCTTCTTCAGAAAAGGGGGAGGGGGAAGGGAGCCCTGAAATAAATAGAGAGAGGAGGGTGGGGCTGGGGAAGGTAGGTGGGATGGTGATAGGTGAGTGCAGGTAGGCAGTGGTGGGGATTGGTCAGTGAGGTGGGAGAAGCAGATAGGTGGGAGAGAAGATGGACAGGTTGTGTCAGGTCAAGGAGGCAGGGGTGAGAGGGAGGGTTTGTCATGGGATGAGGCCAGGGGTGGGGAGATTTTGAAACTGATTAAAGTCCACATTGAGACCATTGGGTTGTAGGCTCCCAAGGCGGAATATGAGGTGCTGCTCCTCCAGTTTCCTGCCACTCTTGTTCCTCTCACGACCAAGTCTGTGTAATTGCTACAACATTATAGGTAAATGCGCTAATCCAAGCTCTTAAGTTCATCTGCGTTACCTGCCATTTGCCTTGTGTTAAAACAAGTACACTACAGACTGCCAGTCCCGCTGTGTTCCTCTCCCTGTCTGTTTTTCCTCTTAGCCTTACTGGTTTCAGTCTCCAATTGGTAAATTTTAATTCCTAAAACTAAAACAAAATTATTAAAACACGTGAACTATAAACTAGGTATTTAAAACAAAATCACTAGACAAAATAAATCCCTTCCTTAGTCAGCATCATCTGTCAGGAATGTTTCTAGTTTCCCAACATTGAGAATTATGATGATATTCCTTGCTTAATTGTATTTTGATCTTGATAGTGTTGATACGATTCTCCCTTTAGAGTGCATCATAAAGAGTGGTTTGTTTGTTTGTATGGCGTATCTTTATTGAATTTTAACATAATCAGTTTTGTTTATGGGTACAATGAGACAAATCAAATATTTGTTATTTTCAAATTTAATTAATTTAACCCACCTACGATTAAAAGTGTAATGGCATTCTATTGAATATTTGGACGAATGGCAACAGCAAGTACTAACAAAATATTCATCATTATCTGATGTTTAGAAGAAGAACTTGCATTCTATTGTGTTGAGAATTTGTTGAAGCAACAAAGAGACATGAGGAGAAACAGAAACTAAGACAAAGAATGAAAGATTAGAAGAAGTGTCCAAAATCAAGAGACAATGAGGTCTTTTGGAGGGTCTGTAGAGCTTTAGGGATAGAATTCCAGAGAATAGAACTTAAGCGACTGAAGAAATGAACGCTCATAATGAAGAGAAGGGGGACGGTAAAGAATTCCAGAAGAAGGATTTATACCTGGAGAAAGTTATATAGATAGGAAAGGTTGAGACAATAGTGAAATTTAAATCTTGGGATGAAAATGTTAAATTTTAGCTGTCAATCTTGATTTAGTAATAGCATTCTCTTCTCTGAATCAGAAGGCTGTGAACTCAAGTCCCACTGTGGAGCAGTAGAGTGAAGTACAGAGGGAGAGCTTCACTATATGAGGTGCTGTCATTGAATGAGACATTAAACTCAGGTCTATTCATCCTTCACAGCTGGACATAAAAGATCATGGCATAACTTAAAGAGGAGAAAAGAATTATTCTGGTGTCCTGGCCAATATTTATCCCTGAACCGCATCACCAAAAGACATTGAGTAAGAGATTGGACTCTTAGTTCCCTTTTTTGAGTGCTTTAAGTGATGTTATATCTCCCAAATGGTATCTGCTGCATGCATATGTACTTGTGAATTGTGCCAGTCATTAGCCCACAAGGTAAATGCCTTCTGGCAGAATGCAGAACAAGAAGATCACAAAATCAATCAGCGTGCAAATTTGATTTAATACCAGCAATGTCATTTTGGAGTTGGAAACTTCAGCTAGTACCGGCTTCTTAACCTCACAAATGAGCATGTATTCAGCAGTGGGAGGTATCACCCCTGCCCCATATTACCACTATTAAAAGAAATAATCAAGTTCTTACAAAATTAGGTACTTATTCATTACTTTGGATGTTGCTGTATTTCTATAAGTGTTTATCAGTATTGATGATGTGGCACTGGACGTGGTAGATAAATTCAGATATCTTGGCTCTACAATCATTAGTAATATTAGTCACTTGATACTGAAATGAACACACATCGCAAAAGCTATAGCTATATGTTCAAGCTTACTATGAGAGTGTGAAATAACAGTAACCTGACCGAGAACTCCAAACTGCAAACCTATCAAACCTGCATCCTCAGTGCATTCCTCTACAATTGTGACACTTGGAGATCACGCGCTAGGCAGGAGAAGAGGCTGAACAATTTTCAACTTTGCTGACTGAGACTTATTCTTATTAACTGGACCCAGTTACTGATGGCTATGAACTCTTGAGGATGGCTGTAAGGGCAAGCAAAAATTAAAGCAAAAATGAAAAGCTCAGCTGGGCGGGAAGAGTGCCCAAAAAAAACAGAAACTAGTGAATCATGCACCCTCTCAACACAATGCCTTCCTTTGCAGCAAATCTGGCAGAGACTTCCATGCAAAAGTGCTCTTAAGCCAAAATAGATGATGCTTAACACATAATTGAGCATAACTGAGAAAACTGCCACATTTCTGCAATTACTCAGTGTTTCCAGTTGTTAATTTTTACAGGGAGTTGTGTTGAATTGTTTGCTGATTTCATGTTTTCTCCAAAAACCAGTTGTTCCCTCATATTGGTGTGATACTAAGCATGCTTATGGTGCAGTGGTACTGTCCCTACCTCTGAGCCGAGAGGCCTGGGTTCAAGTCGCAGCTGTACCAGAGATGAGTGATATTATCATTGAACAGGTTGATTAGAAAATACCTAAGTATTCTTCTTGGGATATGTCACAACGTAAGACAGGACAAGCTGAAAGAAGGTGGAGAGGGAGAAGGACTTTCAATAAGAGGCCATACCCACCTAAGACATTCAGGCAACATTTCTGATACCTGAACCTTGGAACAATGTGTGACATGTGTGTACTTTATTAGGTCACCTTCACTGAAAAATGCCATCCGTCACAGCCCCAACTGCAACCTCAGAGCAAGATAAGGACCACAGTGGCAGTGGATTTGAATATAACCAGAGCCATGATCTTTTATGCATCCAGCTTCTTGCAGCATTTAATAATTTTACATTGACTGTTGTATAAGGAAGATCATCTAAGTGCTCATTCTTCATTCTGTCTTGCTAGGGAGAAGCATGTGGAATGAGAATGTAGATTTTCCTGTCATGCCCTCCTCAGATCCTGGATCCCCTTGCTCTAGTGTCTCAATGTTAGAAAGATCAAAAATACTGCTTCTCACTTCCTTGGCCATTTCCTTAGTTGAAGAAAGTACCTTCTATGTAGCAGGACAGCTTTTCTGTTCTCAGGAAAGCTCACCTTACTGCAACTTCTCAGTTCCCTCAAGTGCAAATTCAGATAAGAACCATCTCATATCTCCACACCATTCCTGAGAGTGCTACAGCCCAAAACGATCCAAGTCCTGCTGGATAAGTTCCAAGAAGAACCAAGAGGTTGAAGCGTTAAACAGCAGGGGCTTTACTATGGAGATGTTTACTCTACAGGCAGCAAGGTTAGACAGAGGTGTTCCGGCCCAAAATGGTCAATGATGTCATCATCAGGTCACATGATCAGACTCTTAAAGTCATGTTTACTGAGACAGCTTTGCTCCCTCTTTACATCAAGGGTTCTGCAATTAAAACATTCACATTTATATATACTCCTCCATCTCCATTTCTTTGTCCTTTCATATGCTCCCTATTGCTTTTCACAGTCTTCATGTCTCCTGCTCTTCTCTCTCCTTCAGTATTTTCAATGACTTATTTGAAAATTCAGAAAGAAATTTTGCAGAGGTTAAATAGAAGTATTAATTACTATACTGTGATACTGCAATATTATTCTGTTAATATTGATAATGAATGATGCTGAGATTAAGAACAAAATCTTACTTATAATTGGAGGAAAAATTCATTCATAGTGACACGATACAGAATTATACGAATATTTAGGCCTCAATTTGACAAATATGGAGGTATATGGATACAGAAATCTGTGCTGGTGTGTCAGTTTGCGGGCTCCATCTCATGCCTGAATAGGTTTGGACTAGGTAGGGCGACCCCCAAGAGGTGAGTAGGAAAGTCATAGCTAATAATAATTAAAGTCCCATTAAAGCCCATTGTCAGAAGCTGACTGGAATTTTCCAGTTAGTTTGCGGGTCCTTCAAGGCATCACAGCTAGACTAGCTGCCTCAAAGTGACTTCCTGGCAATAGATCAAGGGACCACCCCATCAGGCAGGCTTTGAGGCCTTCCTCACCTTCTGTGGCTCAGCTACAGCCATAGGTCACCCTGTGGAGAAACTTTACCACAATGGTTGCTTCGTGAAATTACTGCACAGAGGCCACTATCCTGTCACAAAATCACCCTTTATTTACTTACGCACAGTACACTGGCTGTGGCCAGCCAGCTCAGATTCTAAATCTCCTGCTTATATCGATTGTCAAGATCCAGCTGGTTCCAAACACTACATCCCTCTCCCCACTAAGTCTGGGGATGTAGGCCTGGTCTTTCTCTTGTAGCTTTTCTTGCAATGTTTTCACCCCCGGTCTGGTTCTTCTGACTTGGACACTGGCACAGGTGGTGTGTACTGGACTGGAGCCTGTCTTTTGCGTCAGGAGTGTCTCGGGAAAGTTTCCTCCCCTTCTTCCAGTTGTAATGGTATTGAGGCTTCATCCATCTGGGACTCTGAGGTTTCCTTGACATCAGACAGAAGGGGACAATCTGTGGTTTCTGACAGGACTTCTGGCTATTCTGAGGGACCAGGTATGGTTTGTTCCTGCCCCGTTTGTGAGGTAACAGCTTTCAGATGATCCATGTGTTTCTTCTGGACTGTATCACCTACCCAAACTTGGAGGTCATGGGACCTGATGTTGCATCCACCTCAATTCTTACCCATACAGGGCCATTTCCATGGATCTGGCACCAAACATTGTGCCCTGAATTAAATTGTCTCTCGTGCTTGCGGTAGGCTTGTGGCCAGTGTTCCTGCTGCCATTTCACCCTTCTCCCCAGGTTTGGAAATATCAGGTTTAATCTGGTGTGGAGTCTTCTCCCCATCAGCAACTCTGCTGGAGCTATCCCTGTTGTTACATTTGGGGTACTCCTATATTTGAACAGGAACTGGGACAGTTTGGTATCAAGTAACGCTGTAGGCTGTTTCTTTACGCCTTCCTGCAATGTTTGGACCACTCTTTCCACTAGACTATTGGACGATAGATGGTGTGGAACTGTCCTTCTGTGCCGAATGTCATTTGACTTCAGGAAATATTTGAATTCCCTGCTGGTAAATGACATCCCATTGTCCGTGACCAACTAGCAATGAAGAGAGGTTGAATAGATTAGGATTATTTACATTGGAGAGACGGAGGTTGAGGGGGGAACCTGATTGAGGTCTACAAAATCATGAGAGGTATAGACAGGGTGGATAGGAAGAAGCTTTTTCCCAGAGTGGGGGACTCAATTACTAGGGGTCACGATTTCAAGGTGAGAGGGGAAAAGTTTAAGGAAGATATGCATGGAAAGTTCTTTACGAGGGTGGTAGGTGCCTGGAATGCGTTACCAGCAGAGGTGGTAGAGGCGGGCACGATAGCATCATTTAAGATGTATCTAGAGAGATACATGAATGGGCAGGGAGCAGAGGGATACAGATCCTTGGAAAATAGGCGACAGGTTTAGATAGAGGATCTGGATTGGCGCAGGCTTGGAGGGCTGAAGGGCCTGTTCCTGTGCTGTAATTTTCTTTGTTCTTTGTTCAATACTTCTGGGAGTCTGTGAATCGTGAATGATGCTCACAGCATCTCAACCATCATTCCTGAGTTTGCTGAACAAACTTAATGGATGTCCAAGCACTTTGAATGGGCGTTCACAATGACCAGGAACATTGAGCCCTTGAAAGGACTGGCATACGTGACATGCAATTGAGCCCAGGGTTTACCCGGCCAGTCCCACAAATGTGGTGGTGCTGCTGGTTGTAAACTTTGCCCTTGTTGGCACTCTGGGCACCACCCCTCTAACACAGCTATGTCAGCACCCAATCCTGACCACCAGATGTAGCTCGTTGCTAGCTCTTCAGCTTGGAAACCCCTGGATGACCTTGCCAGAGTTCAGCCAGTATCTGGCGATGATCTTTACTCGGGACAATCACTCTTGCTCCCCATAATAATTAGCTGTCCTCTACAGTGATCCGGTCCAGAATGGTTTCAGCTCTGGTTGCGATGGCCCTTCTGTTTCCCCCATTTCCACCAGCTGTTTTAATTTAAATACGACAGGATCTTTTGTGTCCACAGGTGGATTTTGTCAATGGTGACTGGAAGAGTGTCCAGGAAATTTAAAACCAAAAACAGACTCTTCTGGGGAGGCACTAGCGGTGATGTATCTGCCACTGGGATGTGGTTCAAGGCATCCACGTTAGCCACTTGGCTTCCTGGATGGTGTTCTAACTTGTATTTGTATGCGCTGAGACCAAGGGCCCAATGCCGAATTCTACTAGAAGCAATGGGGCGGCTTCCTTCAGTAGCCCTAGCAGAGTTTGTGATCTGTTACTATGACAAAATCCCATCTGTTAAGGTGCTGGTGGAACATCCTCACA